CCTATTTTGCTTCACTCTGACCAGAAACTAAGTGTGTTCTGGCTAAATTCCACTTCTAACGATTGTGTGTTGCTGGCCTAATCTCCCCGGCTGTTTTGATTGGTTATGGTGTCTCCCTTTTTTCCCCTCTGTCGTAACTATGGAGTGCACTGCTTTGTTCTAGAAACAGTGCTTTGCCCCATCGCTGAGAGGTGTATGTCTGTGCTGATTGTGGTCTGGTCCTGCCTCTCACGTGCTTAGCTGTGTGGGCATCCATTTGTGAAGTTCGGTGTTACCCTCAGATTAAAAAACACACGCACAGAATGTCATCATTCATTATTAATAACTCCTGTGTGACACCAGGCATTTAGAACTTAGGGCAGTTTCAAGGCTTTTAGGGGGGAAAAAGTGACTGAGAAGTCTGTGAATGAGGCCAAATCTCCAGCCTTCGACGTGAGAGTCTGGGCTGAACTGTGGAGGCAGGTAAACTATAGGCCAGCAACTCTCAAACCCTTTAGACTTGGGATCCCTTTACATTAAAACTTAATTGAAAGCCACAGGAGCCTTTGTTTGTGTGGATTCTAGCTATTGACACTTGGACATTAAAGCTGAGAAACTTTAAGAATATTTATTAATCCCTTTGAAAAGAATAACAAACCTATTACCTGGTATATGCTAACTTAAATAATACATTTTATGAAAAATCCCTATATTTTCCAAGCCAAAAAAACTATTGGTGAGTTAAGTGGCATCGCCTTGCATTTTTGCAAATCTCTTTCATGTTTATCTGAATAGAAGAAGGCTGGGTTCTGATAACAGCTTCTATGTTCAGTCTTTTGAAATATATTGTTTTCTTGAAGTACAGTAATAAAAGTCAGCCTCACATGGATAAGAGTTGGCAGAGAAGAAATAAATTAATAGCTTGTGCAGATACCTGTAGGTCTTCTTTGATACTCTACCCGAACTTGACAAGAAGTAATTTTTTTTAAATGTATTAAAGGTTAGAAATAGTAAGAAATCTGAAACCATACCAGTAAACATTCCAATACTCAATGGTCATTTGCACTTTGATTGGACATTTTTACTAATGTATGACTTTTGTTGCATTGTATTTGGTCACCTGGGAAATATTGGGTCCCTGAATTACATAAATATTCTAAAATGTTGACATATTTCATTTTACCATCTGAAAAAATAACACTTGTTAATATGCTAATATCAATACCAATGTCATCAGAAAACTTTTATGTATCGGGAAGCTGCCAAGCTCACAGTGGCGGATACAAGTTCTCCAAAATTCTGATTTTAACTTGAAAGCGAGCTTTCTATCCTTGGCAACAAACACAACAAATCCTGCCAGTTGTTTTCCTTGAAAACACAGTCTCATTTCATTCATCATTGGAGAAAATGCCTGCCAAATATCTAAGTCCAAATAATTCTTTCAAGTAAAAATGGTGTTTATGAGAAAAAATCGTGTCTAGTTCAGCTCACAGCCTAGTCACACAGGTGCTTTTCCCCGAGACAGCGGTCACACCTGCCCAGGTGGCAAAGTCCTTGATATTTTGGGGTTTTTTTTATGTACCTCCCATCTTCTGACACAGAAAATGAAAAAGAAAAGCTGTGCATTCAAGGGTCCAGGTTTAATACAATTAATCATTTCACTGCTTCGTCTTACATAAAACTGGCTTTTTTTAACTGTAGGTGACACTTCCTTCATTAGGCCTGAGACAAAAGCAGTTTTATCTACCATTGCTCTTACTCCATCTGTAAATATCAACAAATTTTTTTAAAGCAATTAACATGTCAGTATGCTCATCAGTATAGTTGTGGCCTTATGGGACCCCCCCCCCAAAGGATCTCAGGGTCCCCCCAAATTCTCAGATTACACTTTGAGAACTGCTACAGTGGACAGAGCAGGACACTGTCAGCATAAGGCAACCTCCACTCCAGCTGCCAGGACAAGAGGGGCTTGGTGAGGTCAGAGATCCCCTTAAACCCACTGGGAGGGACATTGAGTGTGGGGTATGGCACCCGAGCATATGTGAACTCAACTTTCTAGGTGGCTTAAAGTCCTCCAGTCTTTTCTTTTATGTGTGACTTGAAACTTTTAATGTCACATTCAGAGTTTGGCTTCCTGCCCTGAACAAAGTCCTGTAAACTGCACACGATTGGCCAGAACTACAATTGCTGTTTTCATTCTAGGGCTTGGAGACCGGTCCTCGAGCTCCCTTCCCATGTGTGAGAAAACCCTCTTTTTACATTTCTCCCATTTCCCACTATTTCGCAAGACAAATTGTTAGTCTCTAAGGACACTTGCCGTCCACCACAAAGTATCCAATTCAAACATTGCATCCTTGTCTCCTTTGTCCAGTTCTGCATTTTGTCTGATGGTGTTTTTCTTCTGCTTCTTTACTTCTTTTCCTTCTGGGGCTGGAAACCAGGCAGTGAGAGGATGACAGGTTTTAAAAGGTCATTTTTGAATAAAGAATTGTCTGTGTGTAGTTTGTGCACAGTGGTGTGTTTTGTATGTTTGAACGAAGGCGGGGCAGGAGCGGGGGAGATAAAGGACTGAGCACTCCTGCTGGCCAGACCTGTCAGAGAGTTCTCTACTCAATTCCGGACTTTTACAGACAATCCCCTCAATTGCTTATAAGCGGTGGTGGAAGACATGTAGGTCTCTTCTGCACCTTCAGCTCTCCAGAAAGGAAGGTGACTTTATA